TTGAGTTTATTGGGAAAACATTTTAATTTGACACCGACTTGAAGCAGGATAGACACTCATTAGCTCACCTATCAGCTCTAATGGATGTACAGAGAGGAAAGTCATCACAGCACTGACTGGATTACAGCCAATTAGAGAAGAAAAGGAGGTGGGGGAGGGGCCAGTGGAGCGAGGCAACCATTGCACCAATAATGTGCTAATTGTGTGCATGTCACATGAGAAAGTTTGTTCTTATTAAAATGTTTCTGAAAAAATGAGCGTTAACTGAATCACACGTGTCTAGTTTCTGTATTTGTTTCCACATAATCAGATGTTGTTCATTAATGTCCTCCTTCAGCTGCAAACATGCACTTATTGTATGTCAGTACAAACAGGAGACTAGCGTGATCTTCTTACTTCTAAAATTCTCTGTTGTAGCTTTGAATGCACAGATTTAGCTCTTACAACTTTCTGACTGATACGCTAAATAGAGTTCTTCCTCACATGTTTAACTTAACATAACATTTTACATTTCAAATATCACCAAATTAGGCTTAAATCAGGACCTAACAACTCAAATGAAACTAAACCAGATCTAAAGTAATTATAAACAGTGGTTAATGTGGTCCTAAATCTATATTAGCATAAAAAACATATTTGTCTCTAAATTAACAATTAACAAACAAATGCTCGAACTGTAGCGGGCCTTGCATACCACCATAGGCACCCCACATATACCACACGTTGAGATACACTGCTCTAAAACACAAATGAATTCAAATGTTAGGTAACTGCATTGTATGAAAAACATGGGAAACAACAGCAAGTAGCAAAAAATTATGTTTGAAACAAACCCCGGAGTCGTGCATCTGTGCATCCCCATAAATATTAGTATTACAAATATGAAAATCACCAGATGAGGGCAGCTATTGTCATCTGTATGTTGAACCCATCAAAATGCACTGTACTAAATAAGATGCTAATGAAAACATTCCTCACCCACAGCCACCTACTCCCATTGTTGACCTGATGTTTAACGGACTAAATTGTGCGTTTCTGATCAAATGTTTAGTTTAACTGTATCTCTGAATTCTGTAAAAAGGGGTTTGTTACCATGGGAACATAGAACTCTCTTATGCTGATCTTTTGGGGATCCAGGCTGAGTGGCAACTCTTTTTCATTTATCTGGGTTTGGGACTTGCATGGAGGCATGTTCAGCTGTGGTGGATAGGCTGAGTCCATGATAGAACCGTACGATCACAGTCCACACAGTGAGTTTAATAAAGAGTGCTGGTGATGGATGATGGCATTACGAGGCTCGGATTTCCAGCTGGAGAAACCTGTGCCAGCGACTTAATGTAGTTAAAGCAGAGGAGGAGCGCTCGGCCTTCATTTAGCACTGTGAGGGGGGGCATAATCACACATCATTATCAGATCGAGCATAGGAGGGAGGGTCTTCTTAATGTTGTGACAATAGAGTAGGAGTAAATTAGACAGAGCATCACCTCAGGCTGATAACAGACTTTATAATTGAATGCCATTCAGTTGAACAGACGCTAGACAAACATAGGCCCACAGCCACTCTGCTGCTGAGCTCCACCTGTGTCTGAGATGTCCATGTGAGGTCCCATCATGTCCACATTGTGTCCACATAAAGATACTGTTTATACATTATACATCTCCTCTTGTTCTATCAAATTCTTTCGCCTGAATGAATAAACCACACATCCCAAATGATAGGCCACCGGGCTTGTTTGCTGCCATCATCTTTAAACAATGGTTGCTTTTCCTTGGGTAAAACTGAATTCAAAGTTAGTTCAGTCTAATACAGAGCATAATGTTGCATAATTTCAATTTAAACTCAACTTGAAACTAGTTTTCTGTGGTATTTTTTCCTCACTAAATTATGTTATAGCACAAATATGTGTTTACTTTTACTGGGTTGTGGTAAAGTTATTAGGTCGTACATTGTTGAGCCTGACTCAAAAGTCTACTTTTCTCCACCCTCTTCTCTAATTGGACAGCCTCTGTTTTCTGAGTGAATGACAGGTGGATTTATTCAATCACAGTGCAGTATAAACTCTAAGAAGATGAAGATTACAGCATAAGGCAAACTAAAGCTAGTGCTTCTGACTTGTAATAAATTGTATTTATTATCTATGCTCCAAGAAAATTGTGATATGAATCTTTGCTACATGGCTCACAGCTGTATGGTTCAATTAAGGTGTTATGGGGTAAGAGATATTACTATAGTTTTGAGGTGAAGGTTTGGCGTTGCAGGTCACCGCAGGAGCATCTGAGCAGCCGCATTAACACATGTGCATGCATTTCCCTCTGTTCTCTTTAGTGCGTTTTAATTGGAGGGAAACAGGAGCGAGGAGCGGGGCGAAAACATGATTACACTCTGCAGCACCACAACAGGGTATTGTGTAGATGTAATTACAGCAGGCTATTGTTTAATTTGCCTCTCGATGGTTCAATTCTGAAGAAAAGGCTCTGGTTTCAGGCTCATCTGGGCCGTGGAGGAGCTGCTCTCCCCAGTGCAGTTCACATATCATCACACAGCGGAGATCAAATGAATTTGTCATGCTTTGACTAATGACAGGAAAGAGGAATAAACCCAGTTAGAAAATCATCAAGATTCCCGACGTGCGCGCTCTTGGTCTGGAGTGGGGGGGTTGGCAGTGGAGGGCCTCGAAGCCTGAATATTGAGCTGTGGCTGATGGGATGTGAGGGCGCAGCGGCCCAGAATAGCAGCAGGATAAAGGAATGTACAGAAACTCCCCCAACCATTCCCTTATTAGTTTTGTACTTATTCAATCTGCCAGCCATTTTCTGAAAATAATATTCTTTAATGTGCATCCTAACCAAGCAGGGCTGTAACTCCACTGAGGCTGTAATGGAGAAACTTGAAAGATGATGATATTTGATGAAGACCATAAACTCTGTAAACTATGCAACACTTGAAGCTGGTTAAATATACCTCTGTGCCCAGGACCTTGTGTGCTCTCATGACAGTGTTTGAAAGTGCGAATGGTAAAGACTCATGTCTATGATCCTCTGTATTCACCAGAGTATTGGGTCTGCTCTCCTCAGCAGAGACTCAAATGGCTGAGACACATGTCTTGCAGATAGTATAAGGATATATTTATTGTTAATTGTCTGCTGAAATATTCATAGTCAGGGCTGAGGTGCTCTCTATGTCTCCATGGATCAATGCACTCTGCTCATAACTTATCACCAATCAATATCTTAGGCTGTTCAGCCTGGCTCTAGGCTTTTGTTCATGGTTTTACTCCAGTAGATCCAGATTATTTAAGTTTAAGGTGTGACACTGCTGGTTTTATGAATTGAAGATGAATGGATAACATCTGTCTGGGAGCCTGCTGGTCACATTGATTCTGTAGGATGTGAGAAGAGTGAGAGGGTGAAGCCCTGGTCTGCCCTGGGCTCCTGTCCCGCTGCCTCAGCACACTCTTTGTGGTAAAGAAGGGATGACAGCCTCATACGACCACTGTCCCCTACACCTCCGTACGAGCTCTGTGTCCTCGCACTTCCTTCCTCTCACTATAGAGCAAAACTCCAGACAGGGCCATTATGGGCGACGAGGTGTCTCTGCTGTCATGTCCTGTCGACAAAACAAAGAGTCAGGAGATGGACGAGCTGTGGACACTCAGTGAAAGCACTCAGTCCTCTGCCTCCTGCTGAAGTCCCTGCCCAGATACAGGCCCAGCTCTTCACAGGCTCTGAACCAGGCCTGAACCACGTCTGAACAAAGACTAAACCAGGTCTGAACCAGGTCTACTCTGTGGGTCTGATCCAGGCCTTGACCCAGAGAACTCAGCTCTGTACATGTACAGTACCCATTCTTAAGAATAAATTCAGTGAAAGGTGTAAAACATAAATACATATTATGATTGACATGTAATGTTAAATGTGCTGTGTCTTTGGTGTGCATAAAGTTTCTTTATGTCTCTGTGGTGAATTGATGAATGTTAAGTAAAACAATGCACAGGGTTCATGTCAAATAAGTGATGGTGAGTTTATATAATTAAGTTCATGAAAAAAAGCCTATGATAATAAGGGCTGTTTTAGTCTTGATGGTTGGATCTCAAGATGAAAAAAGTTACTCCTCAAAGTCTCAACTCTATTCTTTCCCATTCAGCTCCACATAGGAGAGACATGGTGCTTCCTATGAAATTTATGATGGGGTTTGGGAGGAAAACACTTTTAGAGTTGACATTTCACCTGCAAGCATTAATGTTATTATTTTATTTTGTTATAATATATTATTTAAATGCTTATTGTCTTTAATTGATACACTTCATTTATTTTGGAATGACAGGTATTATTCTGTCAGTTGTGGCTTACGTGTAACCTCATTGTATTGTCTTCCTGGGACAAAGATTAAAATTTAATTATAGAAAAGAACAAAAAATGGGGTGATAGATATGTATACAGATAGAAAATTAGATAAGATAAAGTTTGGAGAGAGCCACAGAAAAGCAAGAAATGTGTTTAGAACATTCCACCAATAATACTGACTGCTGAATGTTAAATAACACAGTAGTTAATAAAACAATAATCCTTGCTCTGTTTAAAAGTCGATAACAGAGAATATGCCTGTTTCTTCAGCTGTTGGGAAGTTATTTTGAGCATCTACATAATAAAAAATCCCCGTATCCCCAGTGTCTGACATGACCTGAAATACTATGTGTAAATTAGAATACACTAAAGAGGAGTTACCCTAAGATACTCAATGGTTGGGTTTTAGATTTAGTCTTGAAGTGCGCCCCCTTCTGCTCATGTCCTGGAGTTGTTTAACCAAGAATATGTCCCTCATGCGATATATTTTTTTAATTGAATGTTACATTTATCTTTCAGTCACGTGTTCTTTAAACAAACAATCTAAAATATTTAGTTTAGAGTTTAAATGTCTGGAAATGGGGTGCTCTACAGTGTGATGGACCAACTGTAGCCTATATTGGTGTCATTACCCATGTAACATACATACCAAAATGTGAAAACAATAAATTTATATTTATTTAATCAAATTATGGTAAGGCATTTATGGATTTTAAATATTATACATGATGGGATGAAATTAAAAAAAAATAAAAAATAAAAAAATCAACACATTTTAAATTAGAAAAAACATAAAAAAGAAGAAAATAAAAATGTAAATGCAGTGTATGGGTCTGAAAACAGCAGCAAAAGAAATACACAGTGACTCACACGAGCATCTGTGCCAGTGCAAATAAGATGTACATTAAAACAGTACAAACAAATAATACCCCCAAATATGCCTCACAATATGAACAAGTGAAATTATACCCTGTGAAGGTCAAGTTAGTAATGATTTCACGCAGATTTATTGTGAAACAGCACCACAACCAGGAAAGTTAAACTTCACTTTGGCCCAGATGGACACAACAGAGCTGAGGAGGTGAGCTGACGAGGAATGTAAGGTGTGACTCCAATGTGGCCATACCCGCTTGTCAAAGCCTGATCTCATCAGATCTGAAAAGATAAACAAGGCTGGGTCTGTGTAGTACTTGGATGGGAGACTACTGGGAACACCAGGTGCCACAGTGCGGCGCCGGTGGCAAAACTGTAGTTGTGTCCTTAATCTAGGCTCTTCACCCACATTGCCTAGTAAGAAAGTGGTGTGAGTGTGGTGGTCAGAGGGGGCAATGGCACAGATTGGCAGCCTCGCTTCTGTAAGTCTGCCCCAGGGCAGCTGTGGCTACAATAAGACCTTGCCACCACTGAGTGTGGAGTGAATGAACAATGAACTGTAAAGCGCTTTGGGTGTCTTGAAAGGGGCTATATAAATAAAATAATTAATTAATTACTGATGACTATCATGATTATTTTCTGATGATTATTCTCTGCACCTGAAGCGAAGCATCCTGCACATTTCTATTCAAGCCCATATCAGAGTCGACATGCCAACAACCCAACCCCCACTAAGAGCATGCATATTGTATTACTGTTACACCAGTGTAACTGAAAATAAAATTTATCTTTATTCAGACTGCACAGATTGGACAACACTATCATCCACTACAGAAGATTTCCCCCCAGGCTGAACGGAGTGAACTTCTGGGCCTGTTGAGCTCCAATCTCTGCCACGTACAGAGCTCCAGTCTTCAGGTCCAGGTCCACCAGGTGAGGCTTTGTGTCCTCTCCGAGCTGAATCACACTCTCCACCCTGCACTGGCCAATCATGCCTACAGGAGGCGCCTCCAGCACTGAGATTTGGTTGGTGTTGAGCTGTACTACCACCAGGTGCTTCTTGTCGGGGGTTATGCGCACAGAGTAAGGTGCATCCTCAGTGAAGCAGCTGCCCCATGTGCCCAGCCACTCCCCGGTGACAGAGTTAAAGACTTGAATGCGCTTGTTGCCACGGTCGGCCACCCACACCCTCTGAGCTGCATCTACTGTCACACTGTGGGGAATATAGAATTGCGCCAGACCCTGCCCCTTCTCCCCGTGCATCCACAGGACCTCCAGTTCCGGGGACAGTTTGAGGAGGCGGTTGTTCAATCCCCCATCTCCATCCACAATGTAGATCTCTCCAGATGAATGCACAAAGATTTCAGCAGGCTGGTCAAACTGCAGAGGGCTGACCCCAGAGCCAGGCTGGCCAGGAGTGCCCAGGACCTGCACACACCACAGCCTTTTTTTTTACTCTCAGCTTATTATTTAAAATTGTTATAAATTAGGGCTGCACAATATATCACAAAAGTGTTGATATCATGATATTGATTGACGTGATATCGTAACAAACTCAGTACATCATAACACCAAGGTTCTCCATCTGACACAAATGTACTATTTTTTAAGAATATTTTAAATAAAGAAGATTTTCTGAAAGATTTTCCTCAAGTCTAAAATTAACCTTGATTTCACTAGACATTAAATGAAAGCATTTCATATTTTTATTGTACAAATGAGTCAAAAAGTATATTAAATATCTCAGTAATATCAATATTGCAATTCTTAATTTTCTAAAATTTCCAATATCGTGCAGCCCTATTATGAATATTTGCATTTTACAATGTAAATACATCTTGAAATCAAACTTCTTCTGTTGTGTAATACAAAGTATAATACTAAATCAGTTAACTTAAATAACAGGTGATATGAAGCACAAGTCTTTGTTTTTAACTAGTAAAGTGAAAAAGGGGCTCACCTGCAGGAGTTTTCCAGATGGGGAGTACTGTTTGATACAGTGTCCGTACGGCCCGGTGCCCACATCAGTGACCCACACAGTGGGACTGGACGTGGCTGCGTCTGCCAAAAACAGACCATGGGGCATCTCCAGAGTGCTGGTGTTCCAAGACATCAGCAAATGTCCATCTGTGCTAAACACCAGCATTTTGGGCACATTGTCACCTGTGAAACAGGCAATGTAGAAGGATCAGAGATTAAACCACCAACGTGTTATATGCAGTGTTCACAAATGTGTAATTCTCTAATGCTTAATTCCTAAAGTGGGGGTTTTACAGGTGTGTCACCGTGTCATGTTGCCTCAAACAATGCTGCCAATTAGGAATCAGGAAAGAAAACAAACATAAAACCACTTGTATGACAAATAGCCTTGGACTTTAGAAGCAAGCCTAAGTTTTAGGAAACCCTAAGCACCCATAAGCAAACCCCAACGTTGCATTCAGGTGTCACGGGGGGACCTCACCTCTCTGCGCGACGTACACCACGCCAGCATACTGGTTTACCGCAACAGCGAACACTGCGCCGGTAAACAGCTCGGAGTTACGGGGCCACGTCAGGTCCAGCTTGTAGAGCGGACTACCGAGCAGCTGGTAATCCCGTAAAGCGGCACTGGAGGCCCGATGCTGTGAACCCAGGCCTCCGTAGAGCAGCAAGAGGAGCAGCACGGAGGCCGTGGTAGAGACAAGGACGCATGTTCTCCGCAAGATCATCCCAGGATCCTTACCGCATCTGGGAGTACAACAACATTAAGTACTCCGAATAGCGCACGGGTGGCTTTAGTTATAAAAACACCAGGGGGTCAGTGACATGACACACGGACGAGGAAATAAACCAACAAGGAAATGTTTTCAGTCTGATCGCTTCCTCCAGTGCGCTTTATTCTAAGCCTGCTGCCGCCCTCTAGTGGCCATACATTGCACTTTTCGCGGCACTTCTCTGTTCTCCGGATTCGTATTGGTTCTTATAAGTCAGTCACGACCAAAAACATATTTTTTAGAGTAACCCTGCTTTTAATAGAAAAAGTCATAAAGTTTTTCAAATCAGACAGTATTGATGTCACTGAAACTTGAAATCCACTTATGTCTTCCAAATGCAAGAACCTGCCAATTACAACTCAGTCGATCTGATCTTCAAGATATTAATTCTGCATTAACAGATCCAAATATGACCTTAATGACTCCATCAAATACATGTGTGACATGTAGTAAACTGGAGGGGGCAGCAATACGCTCCAGTGCGCCTCGTCTGCCGGAACAGGCACTGCACTGAGGGAGAAGGAGACGTGCTAGCCGAGGAGGCGACAGCTCCTCTCTGACACTAAATTTTCTCCTCTTATTTTTATTTTCTTTTAAAAGAAGTGCGAATGACAGTGCGTGACGGACAACGGCACCTTTCATGTAGTGTAATCCGTCGAAGGTTGGACTCCATGGAGGTCGCGGACAGCCCGCTAAACCTCGTAAGTGTCCGTGTTGTTATGTTGCAATAACAGGCTAACGTTACAACAGCTAAACGAAAGCTAGCACGGTCAGAGGTGTTTTTCGATAGCAAATCAGAGGCAGAATTGTTTTTCAGTTGGCCCCTTCTATTTGTGCGCATGTCACACTATTATCAGGTGTCGCTGTCGTGGTCTTTACAGTAGTATTGCTATTTAAAATGAGATGAAACCTTTGGAGAATAGATATCAGAGTGACTTCACTCCGTTATAACTTATTAGTACACATCTAAATCAATATGGCGCCCTCCTGCCTTCTTAAACAAAACATATAATTTTCAGATTCCCACATAGGAGGTTGTGCGTGTGTTATTGGTTTGTTTTTGTTGTCCCAGGCTCATCAGCAGTGCAGGAAGGCTGAACGACTGCTCGCTGCAGGGAAGTATGAAGAGGCCATTCTGTGTCACAGGAAAGCTGCAGGTAAAGCATTTCAAGAGCTGCGCCCTGTCACCATCAAATCAACATGCTCTGTTAAACCCGTCTATTCTCTGTCATAGATCTTCTGTCTGATGCAATGAAGACCACCCAGGTCGAGCAGGTTAGACACATCCAGTCTGACATAATATCATATAACAATAGATAAACAATGCAGCAAATAAATTAAGTCCATTTGTACTGATTTAGTAGGTTACTCACACGCTCCTTTAATCAGCCTTGTGTTAACGTTTAATAATTTATAGTTCTGAGAACTTTCCTGTCCTTAGTTAAATCCATCCAACACTTTGCAGAGTTCTGCAGTATGAAATATTTTGTACAGGGTTTCCAGAGAAGGAGAGACTAACTCTGGTCTCTTGTGTTTATAGGCTCGTCTGTCCATGGAGCTGCAAAGAGAAACCCATATTAAGCAGCAGAGACTGATTCAGGAGCGCTGGAAGAGAGAGACCAGGAGACAGGCCACCAAAGCCCGGACAATCCCTTCCGTGTCCACACCCCAGGCTCCAGATCCATTGCAGTGTGCTGGGATGGGGGCCCGTGAGAGGTCCAGAGATCGGGAGTACGACACTCTTCTGTATCAGCTGCAGACACGTCAGAGTGGAGGTCCTCCAGCACCACAGACCTGCTCTGGCTCAAAGACCACCAAAGACGACAAGACGCGCCTGGAGGAGCAGCAGACCACCATTGAGGACCTGCGGCGGCTGGTGGAGCACCTGATGGATGAGAACTTACGTTTGACCACAGAGAACGACAGGCTGAGGATTGAGAATGCACGTCTCCAGTCTGAGGCCGCAGACTTCGTGGAGCGCTCTGAGCTGTGGGTGCTGCCACAGCCAGGGGGCGCTATGGGGACAGGAGTGGGGCATGAGAAGAGGAGTACAGGGAAGGAGATTGCCATCCCTACACTTCCTCCCCTGGAAATGCCCGCTCAGGAGGACCTTTGTCTGGACGATCTTCCTCCTCTGGAGCTGCCTGAAGACATTCAGAATGAACTGAGGGAGTTGCTGGAGGCAGACAAACTGTGACATACACACACGCGCAGAAGGGTCAGAGGTCAGTTTCGTGGGAACTAGGTCCAGGAGCTTGCATTATGTGATAATTGTTGGGAGCAAATACCCATAATTTGACTGATTTTTATTAATGCTGCAGCCTGCAACAACTTCTTATTTGAGTTTATTTTAATTAATTTAGATGATTAAGGTATTAATCAATGTACATGCAGCAGCAACTTGAACAGTCAGATTATTTGCTGCTGTTTTTGCAGGTGCTGCAGGTTTCTTTTTTTCTGCAAAAGAAACCAATACAGACGATTGAAAATCAGTTTCAGCTGAAGAGAAAAGCATCAAAGCCACTTTTTGATGGTTGTAACTTATTTCATACTTGAAACATTTTAATATTAACCAAGGCTTATTTTACAGTTGTATGATTTAATATCCAGTAATTAGATCTTGAAAATAGTTAGATACAAACAGAAGGACATGGCATTTTGTAACTTAAATAAACTTCAGAAAATGTCAGTTTTCAGTGTTGTATTGGACTATCATTAAACTTACTGTGGTATAGTTGGACAGTTTTCTCTGACCACTGGTGCGTAGGAGCACTCTCTGTACATCAGACTGTTCACATCTGCCCCTCGGAGGATTACTACTGTTCAGGGATACATGTTCTGCCATTAATATCTTCTTTGCTATTATAATGTGGTCTTGACCTCAGACCTGTGCACCACAGAAGAGGGATCTATGGTGGCATATTTATTACAGAAGCAATGAAAATTATAAAAGGGTCTATAACCGTCATGTTCAACACACACACACTTCCCAGGATTCTTTGCACTGCCTGGAAGATCAGTGCCAGTCCAAACTCTGCTGTGTGGGTAATGATTAGGAAAATGATTGAACATTCTTTACTCTAAACAACTGTAACAATTTAATCAATTTAAGTTTATTATGTTATTCGTTTGTAATAGACCTGATTATGAAATTACTTTATGTCCAGCATAATAAACTCTGTACTGTCAAGTGTGAGTACGTGTCCTCTATTGTCAATGTCTATTTAATATGTATCTGTTGTAGATTGTCATGTTTAAAGGATACATGTATTCGTGTTTCTAGACTTAAACTTCACTGGGATGAATTAAACATGAAGGAGACCACAAAAAGGCGGTTGGAGCAAGTGCTCCTAGGTTTTATTAAACTGCAGTAATCCACACTGCATTAAAAGCATTAGAATTAGCTTTGGTTTAGTATATCAGTTACAAAAATATGCATTTAGAAAGCACAAAATCTAAAAAACACTCCTATATTTGGTTGTTTTTCCTGACATTATATTGCTGGGGTAACGGAAGATTGAGTAGTTTAAGAGCCTCTGAAATGACAAGCAATGTCAGCATCAACAAGTTCTACTGAGGCTAATTGTGCAAAGTTCTATAACAAAAACACTCCAAAAGCAGGATCAAATCATACAGGAAAAGACTTTCTGAATTCCAAAATAAACCCTTGTTTTCTGGGGTTGTTTCTTCCAACAGAATCAGGAAGGACGATATGGGAAGGACACACCAAACACAGCTCAAGTTCATGTTTTGACTTAAAAGATGGAAAGACTGTAAAGAGCCACCTGGACATATTTGTGGTGACTGACCAGTTGTTTCTTTCATGTTTGTAAACAAGTCCCTGATAACACGCACATAAGAAACAGGTAAAATACAGCAGAATATATACAAAACATGGATGTTTTGAATAGGTTTTGGGTCAAGTTTGTTTCTTCTTAATTGTGGATTTAAAGAGATAAAAGACAACTTGCACAACACAAAAAATATAAAAAAACATGAAACAAATAGAAGCACTCATGATTAAGTCAAATCCAACATCCTGTCCTCATCATTTCAGTTCATTAAAAACATGTCAGCATTAAAACAGACTGACATGACAGACACTCAAATCCACAAACCAGAGACCAGCTAGTGCCACTGGAGACCAGGATACACCAATCAGAGAGTAGCATGAAGCTGTGGGGGACCAGGATCCACCAATCAGAGAGTAGTGTGAAGCTGAGGCTGCCTGTGATGATTACATGTAGTTGACAGAGTTTAGTGTTGGCCTCTTCTTCCCTTTAATCTTCAGAGATCCGTATCTGGCCTGTGAATGGTAGCACACATGGGTAATGTCAACAACAGCTGTTTTAGACAGTTAAGACAGATATTCTATATATATATAGTTCTAAATATTAATAAATAAAAATAATCTAAATTGAAATATAATTTTACATGAGAAAAAGATTAAGCCAAAGATTGAGTATGAAGCATTAATGTGTATCTGTTTTCTCATGTGTGCTTCTGATCAATTGTGAGCTTAAAGGTGCACTTCTCAGGTGGAGACACACCATTGTCTCTTTTGAAATCCACAGTATGGCAGTAATCACATCTGCTTTGCATTTATTTAGTCACACGTTTTATTTCTTCAAAATATCTTGAGAAACAATGCATTCTTACTGTACTTCTGTTTGAGTTGGGTTAGAAGCAGCACTTTGAGCTACACTTACGTCTTTGCGTAGCTTGGAGCGTGTCAGTTTTACACTCTGAGAGCGCCGTAGTCCTTTCTGAGTCACGGCTTCATCCTCAGAGAATGTGGGCTCTCCCTCCTCATCCGTCCGCTCATCGGGCTCATAGAAGTACTCTGACACAAAGTACATAAAGCTTATTAGTGTTTTCATATAAACAAACTGGCATTTAGAGGTTTGTGTCCAACTAGTGTTGGAATTTCAAAAGATCTTAACAGATTTTTACTGCCTGGCAGCACACCAGCAGAGGGCAGTGTGGCAAAGCAGAAGCATGCCTTAACATGCAGTTTCTTTGTTTTTTAAACACCCTCAACTTTTTGGTGATATCCGACATCTTCACGTGATGGTCATGTGAACCACACATCGGATTTGAGGCTATTACATTACTGTAGTAACAGTCTGGTCATGTGACCTGTTGCCACATCACATGACCTCCTGTTAGAGGCTGCAGACAAGCTTCTATTGATAAAAGCTTGTCTATAGAGTACTCATCCCTCCATTCTCCCCTACTCTACACTTTCTATTTTCCAACACTAGCGACAGGCCTTGTTAACCATGTTTCCTATTTTTTATGTTAGGTGCTGGCTCCTTTTGTTTGTTTGGCTAGCACCTATCCATTAAGTTCTTATTTGTAGTAAATTTAGTTTTCCCTCAATCTCCTGAAATTGGCACAGAGTTTTGAGAGTACATTTACCATCTCCATCAGTAGTATCTGTACTGTGAGCCCTCCTCATTGCCGGGTTGGATGCCTGGGAGCTGTAGGGGTAGAGTTGGTTTCCCTGTTCGTCGCGTTGGCCGATCTGGCTCAGGTCATGCATGCTCAGGCTCCGAAGCTTCTCTGTGATGGCCCCCTGACCCTGTTAAACACAACACAAGGTTTAAGTCTCTCAAATTAACCTGAAAGACTCTACATGTTCACAGTTAATAAGTAACCTGAATACTTTGACACAATAATAATTCATACATATAACAGCATCTTTTTTTTATACAGAACAATGTAATTTTCAACACAAAACAGAAGTATACTTTTAATAATCATGTGGTCTTATACTATTTCTAATTTATGTGATCTTTTACAGTATTGTTACTTATTCAAATCAATTTCCAATACTAGTTTAGGATCAGGGTATTAATTTTGTTTTTACAACCTCGTTTTAGATGACTGTATAAATAACTAAAAACTAAACTAACAAAAATGAGTATTATGATTGCAGACATAAATGCGTTGAACCACACAATGATCAGGCTTAATGACATCCAGTACACACACTGTATATTATTACTATGATATGATTTGAATTGTGTGACATTATGCAGTGAAAAATGCAGTCATGCGGAGGTCGGGTCTATGGGGACATGGAGACAAGAACCAAAATATGAGAAAATGGGATGGGCACCATGCTTTACCTCCACAGGCTGCTCCTTCACGTGGCACACTGCAGCAGGAGTGACAGCTGTTAGGTTTTGTATGCAATCATCATTACAGCATCACTACTCAGTTTAATTCAGTGCTGACTTCGTACTCTACAGTGTTTTCTAATATTTTTGTTATGCGTGCAGTCGTGAATTATTCTTCCAAGGCTAGTCATAACAACAGCTGTTTTTAGACATTTTATATTCTTTGTTGTAAATAACATTAAGCAACACATGTAACTTCATATGTGATGAAGATATTAACCACAGTACTGGGCATTGAGCATCATTCTGTGTGCTTGTGTGTGGTTCTAGTCAATTGTAAACTTAAATGTGCACTACAGTATGTAATTTTTTTTGGTAGAGGGTACACCACCTGCTTATCTCCATGGAGTTCGTGCATTGCTTGGAAATTCCCACAATATGGCATTAAGCCAATTACACGTTATTGAGAAACATGCATTATTACTGCGAATAGGGTCCACAGATCAGACTAGTAACATTCCAGCCAAAATCAATTACATTTCTATGGAGACAAGAGGATGGTGGACCCTCCACCATTAAAGTTGCATAGTGCATCTTTAACATATAGACATGGTATTTTTTGCTATCACTTTCTGATTGTCTAAGCCCTTTTTGCCTCATTATAAAAATATTTATCCTAACATGGCCAAGAAGATTGTAGAAAAAACTGGACAACATAATATTATATTTTTGCTTCTTATAATTATATTTGTGATTTTTGTGAGCTACTGTGTCCAAATAATTTCCCTTGTGGATCAATAAAGTTTGTCTGAACTCAGTCAAAAGTTAAATCAAATATGCAATACTCCCGAAACATAACCAATAAAAGAAGATAATGTAAAAATATCTGAACCCCTGCTGGCTCTAGGCGTGTTGCTGTGAACAGGATTAATGTGTGACTTGGATGTGCCGTTGGATTAGCTGGTGCACTGGGCCGGAGGCAGATCAGCAGGGATTATGTGATATTCTCCAGTCTCACGCAAGGCTGATGAAACCCCTCTCCTCCAACTCCCACCCCCCTACCCCCTCACCCAAGCATCGCTCCTGTTGGGACCTTCATGCCAGCCATTACCTTCCCAGTCCACACCTGCTGCAGCAAAACTAATCAAATAGATCTATCAACTAATGTACTATTTGATTAACTAGTGCAGTGTAGCTGGGCTCTCACAATGGCAGGTGCAAGATTTTTGTAAATGTATACATATTATGGTAACTATACTATATTTGACAAAATTACATATAATAAATAGAATCTTGATCATAAAGGTGCGCTGCACAGTTTCTCTAGTAGATGGTCCGCTATCTACTTGTTTCCATGGACATGTTGCCTGGAATGTTCCATAATATGACATTAAACATATCCATCTAGCATTTATTCATTACGAGTGTTTCTACTGGTCAAAAACACAGTAATTCCTTCTGTGAATAGGGGCGACTCTCCACAGATATGAATTATAATGCTACAGTGCTACAACCTGCTTGTCTCTCTTGTGATAGATAGTTACTTGGAGAAAAGCAGGTGGCGGACCTCCACTAGAAATGTCATGCAATGCACCTTTAAAATAACTTCTCATTAAAGACCCAATACTGTGGAATAAGTATATACTTTTACCCAAATGACTCTGTATTTAAAACATTTTGATTAAAATAATTGTCATTTTCGTTTCAAAACAAATGTACCTCTGTATTACTATCAGTCTAATATAACTGACCAATAATTTGTTATTCATGGCATTTGAGAGCACTTGCCTTGACTGCAGCAGTTACAGCAGCTGTGGCTGCAATGTTCAGGCCCTGTTTCCCAAAGTTCACCATGGTCTCATAGCTCCTCTCCTTCGCCTGCACAATGTAATCATCTATTTCCTGCAAAGAGAAATATGCAGCACTTTTAGAAAATCGTTCAGCCCAATGAAAGAACACATCCAAGTCCACACAAAGGGTCCATCGTACCCTCTCTCGGGATGACAGCAGTGGGTGCAGGCACTTCCTGTAGATGAGGCTGGCTCCACGAGTATACGGAGACAGC